CGGGAACCATATCGAGTCAAATTTAGAGATACCAGAGTGAGAGGTTTGGGCCCTGTGCAGCCTATCGGTGATTTTGGCCATCACAAATTGATCCCACACTTTGTCGAACCAGGCTGATAAGGTTGGCTGTGCGGGAGCTCTCCAAAGAGATGCTATTGTTAGTCGAGCCGTAGCCAGTAGAAGCGCAATGATTTCCCTACTTCTGCCGTCCGTCTCTATGTTCCAATGATTTAACAAGAAGATCTCAGGTTTGAGGTCGAGATTGTGCGAAGTTATATGAAGAATCTGTCGTCTGACCATCTTCCAGAAGTTGCCGATGATCGGGCACTCCCACCAACAATGCAGGTAAGTACCAAGCTGACCACATCCTCTCCAACATCCGGGGTCATTGCTTCTGTCTATTCTGTGTAGCTGATGTGGGGTCATATACCAGCGAGAGTAAGTCTTGAAAAATTGAAAACGCACATTAAAAATGTTGGAGGTATTGGCCGGAGAAGACCAAATCGTGTCCCAGTTCGCCTCCCCCCATTGGACTGAAAGCTCCTCTTCCCATCGATGTTGAAAATTGAACTTTGGAGCAATCTCCCCCATGATGATCGCCCGGTATATCTTGGATATCAAGCCCTTCGGAGAGTTGGGGTATTGCTTAATGATGTTTTCCAGGGTTGTTAGCTCTCTCCCGAAAATGCCCAATTCCGTGAGGTGCTCATTGAGGTTCTTCAGCTGCAAATACTCAAACCAGTGGGTCTGCTTTCCTAGCTTCATATCAAAGAATTGCTTGTCCCGGAACGCGTCTTTGTCCCTTAAGTCACGAACACGGCCGAACCCTGCTGCCTTCCACTCTCTGAATGCCCCCGGGGCTAAGCCGGGCCGGAACCAGTCCTGGCCTGTGAACGTGGACATCTGAGAGATTCCCTGGGGGAGGAGATGTTTGCTCCTGTCCCACAAAGTTAGGGCGGTTGCCAATAAAAAGTTTTCCCTGACTGATTTTGGTCTGGAAGAAGGCTTGATCCAAACAATTTCCTGGAGATTATACGGGGCGGTATATGACAGAGCAATTGACCTCCAATGCTGTTGATCATCCTTGTGTTGCAATTGAACCAGATGGGACAGTATTGCTGCCTGATGATACGCCTGCAGTAGGGGAATATCCAGACCCCCCTGTCGTGCGGGTCTATGTAGAACGTGGCAGGTTATCCTAGACTTTTTCCCTCCCCACAAAAAGTTCGTTAAGGATCCTTGCCAGGCACGTAGATCTCTTCTTGTGATGAAAATTGGTAGTGCTCTGAATAGGTACAGAAATCTTGGAAAAACAAAGCTTTTAATCAGATGCAACCTGTCCGGTAAGGTTAGCTTGAGTGAGTCCCAGTTTTTAAGATCCACCTTGATTTTTTGATATAGAGCGCTATAGTTAATCTTGAATAGATCCTTTAGGTTCCTCGGAATCCTCACACCTAGGTGCCTCCAGGATCCCTGCACCCATTCACACGAGCATAACTGTCGGAGTGAGTCCGCTGTCCTGTCGTTGATACGAATAGGGTAAACCTCTGACTTGTTCACGTTTATTCGCAACCCTGAAACTTCGCCAAACCTTCGCAACATAGAGAGGATAGAGTGGATCGATCTGGATGGGTTGGAGACATATAGTGTCAGGTCATCGGCATACAGACTTGTTTTATGTTCAACCCCTTTGATGGTTATCCAATTAAACCCCCCCGCCCGCCGGAGCCTTTCCGCCAGCGGCTCTATTGCGATGGCAAAAATCAATGGAGACAGGGGGCAGCCCTGTCGTGTACCCCTTGTAAGGTTGAATGATGATGAGCATGTCCCATTTACCCTGATCCTGGCAGTGTTACTTGAGTATATTGCCTGGATGGCCCTTAAAAAGTTGCCGCCAAAGCCCATCTTTTTAAAAAGGGATACTATATACAGGGGCTCCACCGAGTCGAACGCCTTTTCAAAGTCCAACGCAAGTATTAAGGCCTCTTCCTGAATTTTTTTCCTATGGATAATGATCTCCAGCGTTCTACGGATGTTGTCAGTTATTTGTCGACCCGGGATGAAGCCCGTCTGGTCAGGATTAATGTAATTAGAGATGAAAGTTTTCAGCCTATTGGCCAAGATTGTGGTGAATATTTTGTTATCGTGGTTCAGTAACGCGATTGGTCTGTAGGAGGAAGGGGAGGTGGGATCTTTATTTTCTTTGTGGATCACTGTTATAATTGATTCGGCCCAAGATCTCGGCAAGACACCCTGTAGCAGGACTCCGTTACAGACCTTGAGGAGATGGTCAAGCAGTGGTTCTTGAAAGGTTTTGTAAAATTCAGAGGGAAGACCGTCAGGGCCAGTTACCTTGTTGTTTTTAAGACCTTTTATTGTTTCCTTCAATTCTAACGGAGAGATCTGCTCTTCTAGCAAGTCCACATGTTGATGAGCTAGAGTGGGTATTGACGTATCCGCGTTCAGATAACGCCCCACCTCTCCCGGATTGGGTAACCTTGACTTATAAAGAACGGCATAAAAGTCTGCAAACGTCTGCGCTATGTCCTTTGCCGCGTATTGCTTGGCCCCCTTGTTGTCTAGGACCGATCCAACGAGGTTTGACTTCCTTTTGCTCTTCACTCTCCAAGCTAGGATTTGCACGTTCTTAGGGGACTTCAGCCAGAATTTCTGTTTTAAATACATTAGGTTTTTTTGAATTTGAGAGGTTTCTAGCGCATCCAGTAGTTTGCGCTCTGCATTTAATTGTCGAAGGACTTTGATGCTGCCCTTTGCCTTATGTTCCTTTTCCAATCTGGCAATACGTTCCAACCTTTCTGTCCTCTCCCTTTCTCTATCTCTCCGGATTCTAGATGAAGCCGCAATCAGCGCGCCTCTAATCACCGCCTTCATGCAATCCCAAAGCAGAGCTGGAGACATACCCTCTGTTTCATTTTCTTTGAAGAAGTTCTTCACATCCGCACTTATCCTTTCCTTGACCACTGGATTTAATAAAATTGACCTGTCTAAGGCCCATATACGTTCAGAGTGCAGTAGCGTCTCTGGGAAAAGTATCCGCTGCGAGGCTTGCTGCTGTAGAGCTCTCAGTGAAGAGCCGAGGGCAGGCGATCCTTACACACTTGGTGGTTTCGGAGGTAAATTGTTTACAAGAACACCGGATACATTCAGTTGGTAAGTTTTGGCTAGTTAGTTAGTTAAACTTCGGTTCTTAGGAAGGAGGGGTGGGGTGGGGGGAGGGAGGGCGGATTTCCAGCCTAGTGAGAAACAGTTGAAAAGGCCTTTTCGTATCTCAAGTACAGCTTCGCTTTCTGGCGGCAGACACACTTTGTGGCTAGCTGCAAGGGTTTAATTTTTAGTAACTACGATATTTGCTTTATTGTGTGAGTGTATAATACAG